TCTCTCTCTCTCTCTCTCTCTCTCTCTCTCTCTCTCTCTCTCTCTCTTACTGTCTCTGTCACACACACTCATTGCACACACAAACACAGTCATATGGGTCATACACATACAGAATCTAATTTATACTTTAGACTTTGTAAGACTGACACTCAGCTTCTTTTAGTTTAATTCAGTTCAGTTAAATAAAGTTATAGTCCACTCCCTGTTCGGGATTATTATTTTGTTGTAATATTAATTATATGATGCATAAAATACCAGCATGATACTTTTCTATTTTATTTTTGTTTTTCAGTCCTTATATTTTTTTTTTGCAGTATACTGTGATAGTAGGATCATTACGGGACTGACTCAGTGTTGACAGATACAGTTTTTGTGAGCAATTCAGTCATAAATTACAGTTTATTATTTATCCAAATAGACACAAATTCCATGCTGTAATAAGCACCACACAAATTACAACCGTATTTGTTGTGAGTCACATGGTAAGTATGCTGGTTGTCCTACTTCCCAAAGCCAAACTCTGTGTACTGACCACTAGTCTAACCAACAACATCTCTCTCTTGTTTTTCTCTTTCATGTCTTCCCCTTGTTGCTTGGTGCTGTTCCTGTTTCCTCCCTGATGTTTGTTCAATCCTGACTCACCAAATAAGGTAAGAAATAGCTTTCATCTATATCATTCACAGCATTATCTCAACACATACAACAGTACAAACTTTCATGATTAGAAAAGCACAACACATCACTGATGCACTGACAGCTCAAAGTCATACTTCATCATGCAGTAACAGAATTTAAACACAAATCATAGCAGGGATTTGTTTGACAGCAGTGCCCAAACACCACACATTGGCACCAAGTAAGGCAGTTAATCAGATTTTCTACAAGCAGCACATCTGCTCACATGTAAGACACATGTCACCACTCACCACTGATGATCACATCAATCAGGCATCCATGGATCAGGTATGAGAGACTTAATGCTCAAGGCATGATGGGATTTTGTTTTATCTGACTGACGGGTTACACTCAAGCACACACATTATCACATGGACGTAGTCTACAATCTGTACTGTAAACAAAACATTTAGCCCTTTCATCCATACACTCTGTGTTTCAGGGGACCAAAGAACTTTACATTTAAACAGGATAATTGTATAGGTTAGACAGGTTTACCTACTAACAGGCTTATATGGTTTAAGGAAAGCATTAGCAGGGAAGACCAGCTGTTAAAGTTACTCATGCCCGAATGAAACTGTAGTCATTATACTGCCGAGTATCTTGGATTTTATCTATTGAGTTTTACTATAGATGTTTAGCAAATTAGAAAGTGTTAGATTACAGTCATTAAATTAAACATCACAGTGAAGTGGATGTACACTGTTCAGCACAAGTGATAGACTAGAAAATACTGATCATATGACACAAACATAGCATGTTAAGAAAACATAATAAGCCTACCTACAGTATTCTGGCATATCAGAGGAAAATGACTCAGACGTAGATGAGACAAGTGTGCATTATTTTGTGAAATTTTCTTTATTTGTTTCAGATTATTTGGTGTAGACCTAGCTAAAAATATTAATTCCATGCAAAGTTCTGCAATAAATCCTACTCCCATAAAGGTTACAGTGTTCAGTTTTTGTTGCAACTGTTTTAGAGGCATTTCAGTTTAACTTTATCATTTTGATTGATGTTGATTTGTATTGCAGTAAAGAGAGAGGTATTTCTTTAATCTCTGGGGTCTACAGAATAAACCCTCCTCAGTATAACACCATGCAGCACCACCAGCTTCTAAAACAACAATAGAGTGACTCAACACCTCTCTAAAACAACTTCAATAATAGCTGAACAATATAACCGTCATTAACATAGGATTATTGCAGGACTGTTGAATTTAACTGCATTTGTTTTGGCTAAGAGTGCCCAATAAACAGGTAAATGACTGTATCTAGACTGAAACAAAACCACTTTTTTATGTATAATGCAGGCCCACATCATGCACCTGATTTAACATCCAAACATCTGTTATTGTAATCTTAATAAAACTGAAGCATACTGTCTGTTGTTTAGTATTTACAAGTGGTCCCACACACCTAAATTAAAGCCGAATGAAAAGTGCACATTGACTCCGGAGTCATTTTCAAGTCACTGTACAGTCACTGTTTGAAGAAGGGGTGCTAATACTGTATATTGATGATTAGTATATCATCCTATTTTATAAGGTAGGCTGTCCAGGGTGTAGTCTGCCTCCTGTCCAGTGTGTGGCAGAATAGGTTCTGACCTCCACTGGATAAGAGGATGTAGTAAAGAGATGCACTGATGAGCACTTGATTTGCACCTGACAGTGAACATGTGCAGTATGTGGCTTAAAATTAAATGTTACAGGTGAGTGAAATGCATGTGTTTCCAGCTGTGTACATCAAAATCCCACTTTATGAATTTATGTCTGCAAATCTCAGCCTTT